TCATGAAGGGGCCATAGTTCCCCCGTGCTGGCTGAGGAATTCTGGGAGTTGAAGTCCCCAAGTCATGAAGGGGCCATAGTTCCCCCGTGCTGGCTCAGGAATTCTGGGAGTTGAAGTCCAAAAGTCATGAAGGGGCCATAGTTCCCCCGTGCTGGCTCAGGAATTCTGGGAGTTGAAGTCCACGAGTCCTAAAAGAGCCAAGGTTGCCTACCCCTGTAATCTAGTCCAACCCCCGTTTCCGGCAGCAGACCCTACTACCCCATTCCGGGCAACTTGGCTGTCCAGTCTTTTCTTCCGAGCCTCCCGCCGCAGCTTCTGGAGGCCAGTCGTCCCACTGGCTCCTTGCCAGCCTAAGCAGCTCCGAGCTGGGTGGGCAGATTGCAAGGGCGGCTTGGGCCGGCAGCCAAGGCAAGGCAGAGGGTGGCTGCCGTCCGGGCGGCAGCGCCGCTTGCGCAACCAGCCCGGGGCAGGCAGCCTTTGCGCGCCGCGCCGCGTCTTCTCCTTCTCCGCCCAGCTGATCCGCCTTCCCTGCGCGCCGCCGGCTTCGGCTCGGGCGGAGCGCCCGGGCTCCTCCTCTCCTTGTCCTCCTCCTCCTCCTCGGGCTCCAGCTCGCCCGGCCTCCATCCCGCGCCTTCCCCAAGCCAGACAGCCAGCCATCCAGCAGCAGCCGCCTCCGCGATCCGAGCAGCCATGGCGGGCCAGGAGGAGGCAGCAGCGGCAGCGGCAGCGGCGGCGACGGAGGGCGCGGAGGCCGAGAGCCCCGGCTTGCTGCTGGAGCTCATCAGCTCCCCGCTGAACCTGTGCCTGCTGGGCCTCTGCCTCTTCCTCCTCTACCAGATCGTGCGCGGGGACCGGCCGCGCGCCCAGCCCGACGGCGAGGAGGAGGCGGCGCCGCCGCTGCCCAAGCTCAAGCGCCGCGACTTCACCCTGGCCCAGCTGCGCCCCTTCGACGGGCTGGCCAACCCGCGCATCCTCATGGGCCTCAACGGCAAGGTCTTCGACGTCAGCCGCGGACGGAAGTTCTACGGGCCCGGTGAGCCAAGAGCCCGCCGAGGGTTCTCCACCCCCCACCCCACCTCCCCGGGGACCACCACCACCACCACCCCGGGCGACCCCAGCCGCCTAAAGGCCCGGAGGGGAGTCGGGGCGCCCCTGAGAGTCCCGGAGTGGTGGGGGGGAGGGGGGGTGTCTGAGATCCGGGACCCCCAGAAAGGCCCAGAGGGGATCCCCCCCCAAGTTGCAATCAATCAGCCAGAGAGACGCACAAGTCGTGGGGAGGGGGGCGTCTGAGATCCGTGGCCCCCAGAAAGGCCCAGAGGGGACCCCTCCCCAAGTTGCAATCAATCAGCCAGAAAGACCCAGAGAGGACCCCCAACTTGCAATCAATCCCCCAGAGAGGACCCCCAACTTGCAATCAGCCAGAAAGGCCCAGAGGGGGATCCCCAAGTTGCAATCAATCAGCCAGAGAGACAGTCGTGGGGAGGGAGGGTGTCTGAGATCCGTGGCCCCCAGAAAGGCCCAGAGGGGACCCCCCCAAGTTACAATCAATCAGCCAGAAAGACCCAGGGAGGACCCCCCAACTTGCAATCAATCCGCCAGAGAGGACCCCCAACTTGCAGTCAGCCAGAAAGGCCCAGGGGGGGACCCCCAAGTTGCAGTCAGATCCCCGGGGTAGTGGGGTTTTATGCAAGGCAGAGTTGCAGACTCTAAAGTAGATTCCTTTGGATTTTTGAGGTCTGCTGTGTTACGTTGGAAGTATTTAGTGCAAAAGGATCCAGTCTCTTGTTTGGCTTAGTTATCAAATTTCTTCTACACGCTTTTCTGCAGCTAAGTAGCTCTGGGCAGATTATCAGTAAAAACCATACTGCCAGAAAGAGAGTTAAAATAGAATTAAAAACAGAATTTAAGACCGTTGGAAGAGGCGGAGGGAGCACCTTCAAGCCCCCCTCGCCACCTCCAGGGTTGCCTGGCACTCTTAGACCCATACCCCCACACCCCCAGGCCAATTGGCAGAACCAGATCTGGACACTGTTCTGGATGGCCAGAAGAGAGAGGGCAAGTCTGGGGGCAACAGCAGAGAGGGCTCCCTTCCTAGATCCTGCTAGTCAAAATTCTTTTAGACAGGATCTGCAACATACTTTCCCTGCCGGATCAGGTGGGATTGATCAACGCGATTGGCACAAGATGGTTTTCAGATTATTAGACTTTAAGACCTAATGTAGACTTTGGCACACACTCCTCTGTCCTGTCTCTCAAGGCCATTTTTGCATTCTGAGATGTTCTTGATATCACACGCAGCAGGCACAGACCTACATGCACATCCAGCCTTGCAGAATTTATTAGCCAGTCCTGCAGGCGCCGATAGCAAAGAATCTCTTCTGTGAAAGTGCCACTTGGAGGTTAAAACTTGGTGCAAATGACTAGTAAAACAATCCAGGCATCGTTGTTGTTGTTTTTTTTGCAGAATCTCTTGGAAAATGTCACTTCCAAGATTAACCTGGTTGGAAATGGACTCTGGCCCTACAGAAGCTTTCCCAATTCGTGGCGTAATAGGGCAAAGATAACCTTTGCGAAAGTCCAGCAAACTCTTTTGCGGTCATGTAATGTCCACAGAACTTAAAATCACTTTTCAGTCAATAATCAGGAGGAGTCTGCCTTTTAATACAATATATCCGTTGGAAAGTTGGAGAGTTTGTTTAGTCTAGTGCAGGGGTAGGCAACCTTGGCTCTTTTATGACTGGTGGACTTCAACTCCCAGAATTCCTGAGCCAGCCATGCTGAGGGGAAAGGGAGAGGTTTCCAAGCTGAGCTATGCTGGCTCAGGAATTCTGGGAGCTGAAGTCCACGAGTCATAAAAGAGCCAAGGTTGCCTACCCCTGGTCTAGTGGGGAAGGCTTCAGGCTTCAAACTGGGAGACTGGGAATTCTAGCTCGGCCTTAGGCATGAAAACCAGCTGGGTGACTTGGGGACAGTCCCTTTTTCTTAGTCCAGCCCTCCCCACAGTGTCGCTGTTAGAAAAGAAAAGAATAGAAAAAGAAAACAAATATTAGGTGTGTTCACTGCCTTCAGTTATTTATAAAAAAATATTAAAGGCAGGCTGCAAATAGATAAATAATAAACTAAAAAGTGCAGCATGACATGTTGAATTTTGGCTACCATAGGGTAACATAGCTTCCTCTTACAGTGTTCAAAACAGTTCATAGCAATTTTTTTCCAAATTAACCAAGTGTTACAGCCGGGAACTATAGTAAGTCAATTCCAGAGAGAGATTTGTTGGAGTCGGTTCGGTTCATTTCTGACTAACAGGCCCAGAGCGTTACCACACAACTGTCAACCGAATACACTTCTTTCAGATTAAGCCTCGATGAAATCCAGATTTAGCTGAACCTGGGGTTTAATTTTGCAACGCGTCTGAATTCAAAAGCTTCCGCAGCCTGAAAACCAAAGTGCCAAAGACTTTGGGTTGGCAGTCCTGCATTTGAGGCCCCGTTGTGACATTTAGGCAGCCAGGAACGCAACCCAAGGGAAGAAGGCCTTGTGTGTGTGTGTGTGTGAGAGAGAGATCCAAACCAGTTACTCTTGTGTTCCCCATAAAATATTTATGGCTGCCATCCGATCCTGGGTTATCGAAAAACCACGGAGACAAAGCTTCGCTGCCCAGCGTGAAATCAGTCAGGCCGAGCGTCTTTTCTTAAGGCATGGCAACCATGTGTGTTGCCTTCAGCCTTTGCAGTTGTGTGAATCAGCACAACGGGGGTTCCGGGTAAAGTAGTAGGGAGAGATCTCCCTTCCCTGGGAACACGCAACCGCGGAAGGTGGAAACCCGGAGAGGAGAGTGGATTGTTGCACGGGACTCCGATTAAAAGCGTTTAATTAAATATGTAATTTAGGAAGGGTACATGTAGAAAACAGACTGCTCTGTGCCAAGCACTGGTGCCAAGCCCGCCCACCCTCTCCTCTCTCCCTCTCAATTCCACGTCTAACCAGCCGGTCTTGTTCTCCCAGCGGATTATGCCCCGGGTCCTGGTCCTAAGAAGGAGCTGGAACGGGGGCCGCAAAATTGCCCTTTGTTTTATGCCCAGCTTCCCTTTCGCCACTCCCGCCTTCAGCTGTCCTGGCCTGTGGGAGGAAGCAGGCTGTGCATTTCACAAGGCCAGGAGTTTGGCCTCAAAGAGGCCACCCATCCACCCACCCACCCCTCCAGTTCTGCCTTCAGAGATTAGGTAAGGAGCAAGAAAATCAGGAAGGCAATCCTTCCGTAGAATTGGCCAAACAGGTTTTGCGTTTTTTCTTCTTCTTCTTTGCACGGAGATGTTTACCGACTGCAAGCTAGTTTGAAGTCTGTTCCTATCACACCTAGTTGGAGCATTCACCGTTTCTGGAGGCAGGTTGTTCCACTGGTTAATTGTTCTAACTGTCAGGAAGTTTCTCCTTAGTTCCAGGTTGCTTCTCTCCTTGATTAATAATAATAATAATAATAGTAAAGTTGGAAGGGACCTTGAAGGTCATCTAGTCCAACCCCCTGCTCAGGCAGGAAACCCTATACCATTTCGGACAAATGGCTGTCCAGTCATTGGATTACTTTCCATCCGTTGCTTCTTGTCCTGCCTTCCGGCGCTTTGGAGAATAGCTTGACTCTCTCTTCTTTGGGGCAGCCCCTGAGATATTGGAAGACTGCTATCATGTCCCCCCTCGTCCTTCTCTTCGTTAAACTAGACATACCCAATTCCAGCAACCGTTCCTTGTATGTTTTAGCCTCCAGTCTCCTAATCATCTTTGTTGCTCTTCTCTGTACTGTAGTTTGCAGTGCTTCTTGATGATCATAATCATGAAGGGCTCGATAGCGGGATTAAAAATGCCAGATCCAGTCTAAACATCTGCCTGATTGTGCGGCGAGCCACATCGAGGGACAATGAACAAGGACGTTGTTGATATCCTAATCTTCCCAAGGCTAAACTTTCTATCCCAAATTTCAGAAATACGTTCTTGGTTCTCTTTCTTGCAACAATACCATCGCTTTTGAAGTTCTTTTTTTCCCCCCCAGTGTTCCTAAAGCCCTGAGAACACCAAATAATAAAATAAAATCCAATCGCACCCCATCTGATCCTCCTTTTTCAACATCACCCAAGGATGGCTAGGTGCTCCCACTTAACCGAGGTTGGAACAGGAGTAGCTGGAAAAGCAACCAGCCATGAAAGAGTTAAGCATTCTCTGTTGTGGCTCTAGAGGTAATTCTTGACTTTCAACCACAATTGGGAAATTTATTTGTAAAAGGAGAAAAAAAAAGCCATTGTCACAGGGGAAAAGGTTAGATAAATAAAATGTCAGAGTAAAGCAGTTAAAAAACAACAACAGTCGTTTACTAAATGTACTTGCTATTGCCTGGATGTGTCTAGGGTGCTGGACCCTAAATCAGGTCCATGTTTTTGCAGTTGTGCTTCAGACTTCTCTCCAAAATAATTCTCTTTCCACCCTGGACACCTGCTTCGCAGCAGTGTCTTTCCGCACCTTTATTTAGAGATCTACCCACTCAGGTTGACTAATTTTACTCTGGTCAAAAGCCAGACAAGTAAAGGACAGGCTAGGAAGAGCTTCATAAAAAATTTCCCTTTAGAAATCTGAATTTTGTGAGGTCCCTTATGTCCCAAGAATGCTTGCTAGTTTTTTCTTAGCTTTCTTAATATAAGGGATGTGCCTCTTTTTCTCACTGTTTCTGACTGCAAGAAAAGTCATCTGTCAATTTTGCCTATCTTTCATTCTGGAATACATAGCTCAGCTCAGTTGTGTTATCATGAGCGGACAGCAGGCAGATAAAGTTTGCAGATTGGAATAAAGTGTTCTGAACATCTGACCTTGCATATTTGCCCCCTTCCTGCTTTAAAAATATAAAAGGGTCTAGTCCTCAGTACCGAAATGTAACACAGTGAAATTTCTGTTCATTTGGGGGGGGGGAGGTCAGTAGCTAGAGAACGATTAAACATTTCGACATTTTAGAAACCCAGCAACATTTTATAAGAACCAGTAAAGTTACTGATTTACTTTTACTGTCTAAAGTCCTTGATGGATCAAGCTAAAATTGCAGCCTTTAGAAAAATCTGGCAACTATTTTTTTTTTTTTAAGTAGGCATTTGCTTTCAAAATGCTGCGCAAAGATTTGGTCTGTTTACCCAAATACTGGAGAATCCCAATTTAACAAGTTTTTGAAAGATGAAATGGTATAGGATTTCCTGCCTAAGTAGGGGTTGGACTAGAAGACCTCCAATGTCCCTTTCAACTGATTCTATTCTATTCTGTTATTCTATTCTATTCTATTCTATTCTTCATTTCTTTATTCTATTCTATTCTTCATTTCTTTATTCTATTCTTCATTTCTTTGTTCTATTCTTCATTTCTTCTATTCTATTCTATTTCCTCTTCTATTCTTTCTTTAGTCTGTTCTATTCTATTCTATTCTATTCTATTCCATTCTAAATTCCATTCCATTCTGCATTCTATTCTATTCTATTCTTCATTTCTTTATTCTATTCTTCATTTCTTTGTTCTATTCATTTCTTCTATTCTATTTCCTCTTCTATTCTTTCTTTATTCTGTTCTATTCTATTCTATTCCATTCCATTCCATATTTTCTATTCTATTCTATTCCATTCCATTCCACTCCATTCCATATTTTCTTTTCTATTCTATTCTATTCTATTCTATTCTATTCTGTTGGGACATAAATTCCACTGTTCTAAATCTTGGCTGTTCTCTGCAGAGGGACCTTATGGCATCTTTGCTGGAAGAGATGCTTCTCGTGGTCTTGCTACTTTCTGCCTCGATAAAGAAGCTCTGAAAGATGAATACGATGATCTCTGTGACCTGGATGCTTCGCAGAAAGAAACACTGACTGATTGGGAACAGCAGTTTACGTGTACGTATTTCACATTTCGCCCAGCCCTAAACTGATTCCATGCATCTTTAAGCGCCACTTCCCACAAAGCATTTGTTTTAAGAGGGTCACGGCCAAAACGTAATTGTAAATATTCTACGCTGAATGGGAATTTGTTATGGTATGTGGGAATGACCTTGGGAGATGGAAGAGATGTTCCCTAGAGAATGATCCGATAAGAGACAGAATAGCCCACAGCTGCATAATGGGCAGAGAAAGAGAGAAATCTCCCTTCACTTATCAGGCTGTAAAAAGAGACAGTGAGCGATTTGTACTTTCAACCTTGCCAGATTCTATTAATGTAGCCTTACAATAAAACGGGAATAGCTCCTCCGATCACGTTCTCTGTCTGGTCTGCTTGGACTGGCTAACAGAATTACTATTTTAACTTTTCCAAACCTGATTCCCCACAAACCATCTGGGTTAGGCACTGAAGTCCAATCAGATTGAGGGAAGCTTTTTCTGTAAATCTTTTTTAGCATTGTAGCCGAAAGAGCTTGCCTAATAACACAAGAATTCTTGGGTGCTGGGAAATCAATCTTTTATATTCTTTGCAGGCCATCTTAACTTTCTTTCCTTTGTGGAATCTAAACTAAATCGGTTGCTTTGGGGCTTTGAAAATGGCAATACTGTGTCCCTTGGGAAGGGTGGAACTTGATCTGAAGTTTGTCAGTATTGATTTGAAATAATAATTCTTACTTCGTGGGTCTTTATTCAGTTAAATATCACTACGTCGGCAAACTGCTGAAGGATGGGGAAGAACCGACGGTATATTCCGACGAAGAAGAAACGAAAGATGCTAAAGACCGCAAGAACGATTAGCAAACGCGACGAGGAGCCACCTGAAGCTACTCGCTGGTTTCTTTGCTTTTAATTTTTAAGGAACATTTTTATCATATCCCCCCCTTCCCCCCTTCTATTTTACCCGTTTCTATATCAGCCCTTTTTAGAAATCCTAGGACTTGCAGTGACGTTGGCTGCAATGCTGCACATTTTAATCAACATTCCTAAGTAACTCACTGCTAACTTTTTTTCAAATCCAAGCCGAGGGCCTCCTTGGGCAGTAGAGCAATGAGCAAACCAGTTGGTGGTACGTAAAGGATCCTCACCACCCAAGCAGTTGCTGTAGGTAGGATTTCCCTTCCGTTTAATGGTGCTTTGCAGGATGTCACTGTTGAACAGACATTGCAATGTTTTGAAGGTTGACCCCTTGACCAGACAATGTCTCCTTGTAGGAGACACCGATCTGTCCCTCAACCTCCTTCGAATTGATGGTATTCAGAAAGGGTTCCTGTGTCTTCCCCAGCCCGTGTCTTTATCATTCCTTTTATAAAAAACCTGTCTTCCACCGAGTGCCCATCTCTGTGTATCCTTTGAGCAAGCTTTGTCCACTGCAGTTTCCTTCACAGGTGCAATTTCTGTGGGGGGTTTATATCATTTCAGGAAAGTGGAGTCTGGTGGGGCTTTGTTGTCACAGCTCATGTAGGATTGGAAGTGGTTGAAAAGTGCTTTTATATAGATACTTACACCCACCCGATCGGGCCCTAGCTTTGAAGCAAAGTAACTTTCTTTTTAAAAGGATTGCTTTCCTCTTTCTACTAGGCTAATTCACCCTGGTGCAAATCTAACAAGCAAGTTTGGTTTAGCTGCAATGCGATCTTCGGGGGCCATTTATAATGGGTGGTTAATTGTAAGCTTTAAGGTGTTGACAGGATCCTGCTAGCATGTAGGTGTTAAGTCCTCGACTTACAATCGTTCCTTTAGTGACTTTCAAAATTACAACAGCGCTGACTTAGGACCGGTCCTCACACTTGTGTCTCCCACAGTATCCCTTGGGTCAAAATTGGGGGGCTTGACAACCATCAGCTATTTAAGATGGTTGTACCAACCAGGTCATATGTTCCCAATTTGTGACCTTCCCAGCTAGCTTGACAAGCGAAGTCAAGGAAGGGGGGGGGAGCTTAATGAGCATGTGATTCAGTGACTCATTTAATGACTGCCTTGCTTAGCGATGGAAATTCTGTACATTGAAGACTGCCTGCAAACGGAAGTCCCCGTGGTTCTAGGTTTCCAGCCAGTGTTAATTCCTTGAAATGTTTTTGCCTCTATAAGCCACTCACTCCTCCTGGAGGTGGCGAACAAGAGTTAAAATCTATTCTAAACCATGTTGGTCACCTAAGATCTGAGAAGCGGGAAAATCACATATAAGAGGAGACGTAGCAGTAACTTGGAGAGTCCTGGAATTCTTGCACAATGTTGCATGAGGATTATTCAGCTCTGGGAAAATCGTCGACAGCTTTTAACAACTGCAAAAAGTAAAGTGGCGCTGATTTTAGCGCAGAGAATACACAAAATACCAGAGTAAATTGTGGAACTTTTGAGTGACTCTTTTGAGTTATTTATAAGGTTTTAAATTGGGAGACTAGGGGCCTCACTGATCCTTCCTTGAAAAGGCCACCAACTTTCCTTGATTGCAGATAACAATAATAAAATCCAAAATTTCACTATAGGATAATTGATCCACTGCAAGTATTCTATTAATTCTCAGATACATTTTTTGGGGGGGTGTAGTTGAGATTCAGTTCATTTTGTGCGGTCACTCACAGTATGAATCGGCTGGATTTAGGAAAGTAAGCAAGGACTATGGAACCAGGGAACATGTTTCCAAGAAGTTATTCCCAAGTTTGTTTCTTTTCCCACCCTTTTTATAGACTCACCATTTTGAACGGTAAGAGATCTGTTCTCCTTGTAAAAAAAAACACAGTACTTTTCCACAGCAAGCAATACATATTGTTAACTTTGAAATTCTACCTTTGTAAATGCAAAGTACGGAATTTAAGATTTTTTGTTTGTTTGTTTTGTTGCCTATCCCCATTTTCCCAAATGTACAACATCCTTACAAGATCCTTGCCTGTTGTTCTTGCTTATTGCCCTAAAGACATTTAACTGGCTAAAATGTTGTGACCTACCTCTGGGCCTTGTAGGGTAATTAATGAAATGCTAATTATTATTTTTTTAGGGTTTTCTGCTTCTTTCTAAAGTCACCATTCTTGCAGAATTGATGCTGAATGGTTGTGCTTGCTTTGTTTTTAAAGGAGAGGAAATAAAATTCTTCCTACAAATGTGCTTTTCTTTGAGTTAATATGAAGGGCAGAACTTAGCGCTCCAGAATCACCTGGGAAAGAAAGATGTTTATGATGGAATCTCTCCTCCAGTGCTTAGAACTGCTGGTGATGTAAGGCTGATTAGGAACCTGATGCCCATTTCAAATTTATGGAAGACACATCACAGCAGTTGCTCAGGGGCACATATAGCCTTCAAAGGCTGTTTATTTCTTTGGTTTTTAGATTAATAGCCTGCCTTTCATTCAGAAGCTTGCTTAGCAGGCTCTGGACTGACTTGCCAAAGGTTCAAACAGATGGATTTCTGCATTTAATGCAATTAAATTCGCTTGGCTTTGCTCCTTAAATCTCATTTTAGATCGTTGCAATTATGGAAGTGAAGCGAGGGATACAAACAGGCTGAAAGTTCCGTTGTCTTGCAGAACTTTCCCATGTTCGAAGCCATGTTACCTCTGGGCAAACCAGGATTTTTTTAAAAAAGTGAAGTGCTCTCTATCCAATGTTTTCATCTCTTTACAACCTGCTCAGGAAATCTGATAAGTCTCCGGAGATGCCATTGTTTATTAGCTGCCTCCAGCTGAGCATTAGATAAGAGGATTGGGGATTCTCATGTGTTTACATAGGTGACACCCCCAAAATTCTCCATTTCAAGATAACTGGCAGCAAGGAGGAGAGATTGTGTGAGAGAAGAAAGGCAGTAGGAAAACCACTGGCCAATTTTGCAAACAAAGAGATGGGAAAACTTGGTGGAGAACCAAAGAAACAAAGCTTGGTTATTTTCTTGCAGACGTTTCATTACCCAGACTTGGTAATATCATCAGCATCGATGTTAACCTAGTTTGGGTAATGTCTGCGAGAAAACAACCAAGCTCAGAGAGCACCAAGGACCCCCCAGTCGTCTTTCTCCTCTTCTCCACACACACCCCTTTCTTCTAGCACTGATGACATTACCTAGTTGGGTCATGAAACGTCTGCAAGAAAACAACCAAGCTCAGAGAGCACCAAGGACCCCACAGTCGTCTTTCTCCTCTTCTCCACACACACCCCTTTCTTGTAGCACTGATGACGTTACCTAGTTGGGTCATGAAACGTCTGCAAGAAAACAACCAAGCTCGGAGAGCACCAAGGACCCCTCATTTCAACCCTGAGCTATAAATATTCTTCTTTATTGGAACCAGGGAAGCCTTTATTTATCCTTTGGCCTTCTATGCTGCTTCAGTTTTCAATATTCTGAATGGTTTACACACACACAATTTGAACCGCAAGTCAGCTCTGAGGCGATGCCATGGAGACAGCAAGGTCTTCAAGCTTCTTCAAAGCCTTTTTAGAACATAAAGCACTCTTATTTGGGCCTGGTGGTGTTTCAAGCCTGATGGAGTAGCCGCCACATGGATCGCTGTCATTTGTATTCCCCATGAAAAGGAGATGTTCTTACCTTACCTTTGGCTTGTAAACAGTTGGGCACACTTCTAAATATAGACCTGGACTCAAGCTACTGGCCATTTTCTCATGGGTTTGGAGGCATTCTTGAAAATAAAGGTGCTACGATATAAACCAGGCCAGCTGGACTTCCAACTCCTGGAATTCCCAGCCACCAGGTGGTGTTTCTCCAATGCAAAAAAGCTCTTCCAGCTTTCCCCAACCTAGGAGCCCCACAAAATGGGTAGATCTTAATTCCCAGAATCCTCCACGACAGTCATGTTGGCTGGAGAATTCTGGAAACTGAAGGATGGCTAGGTTGAGGAAAACTGGTCCGCCAAGAATTTTTGTGGATCCTCCTTTCTTTTTGGGGTGGAAGAAAGGAACAGCTTATCTAAAATATCAAGTGAAAAATTACACATTTTATTCCTTGGACTGCCTAGCCGAGAGGTAGGCAACCTTGGCTCTTTTATGACTCGTGGACTTCAACTCCCAGAATTCCTGAGTCAGCCTGGCTCAGCTTGGAAACCTCTCCCTTTCCCCTCAGGCTGGCTCAGGAATTCTGGGAGTTGAAGTCCACGAGTCATAAAAGAGTCAAGGTTGTCTACCCCTGGCCTAGCCTTTTGGTTATGATGCCTGATCCAATAAATCAGGATCTCCTTTTCCAGAATTTGGAGATCACAGGCGAGTTATAAAGCTGCATTTTCCCCAGATCTCTCAGGCTTAGGGTTACAAAAACGGTTCGGTGATTTTCCAGTGAAGGAAGCAAGCATTTTTAAAATGAGCGCAAAGATTTTATTCAAAAGGAGTATGCACATCTGCAAAAATCAGTTCCAAGCAAAGACGAAAAAGAGAAAGACTCGAAACGGGAAAATGGAAATTGCATCTGCAACGAAAACAAAACATCACCGGTAGCCCCAGGAAGGGTGTTCCTATAAAACAACTTTATTCACAGCTAACTTTTCAATTGGATCCGGAGGGTTAAGAAGAAACAATGCAAGTACAAAAGGTTGTTTATAGAGAAAAATACTTTTCACTCACCCCGCTCAGGAAATGCATGTCTGCCCCTCACCAAAGCAAAGAAGAAAGGTTGTAGCTTCAGAGTTTAAAGTTGGACTTTCAAAAAGCCGAAAGAAAACCAGCACCTTTGACCAACGTGACACACAAACAGCCTTAATAAGCACAGAAAAAAAATTCCTGCGTACTTTGGTTCGTCACTACTTTTATTGGAGCCAAGTTTAACAAAACGTGGACGGTATGCTAGCTAAGTCATATCACGTAGAGGTACCATGACATGGAATAAATAAATCACGTTCAAGGGAAGCGGGAACTGGAACCAAAATGTCTCGTTCTTCCCTCTGCATAGAATTCTTCTCTTAAGAAATTGTGGTTGTCCAGTCCAGGGCGAGACCACTTCACCGGCACCCTCAGAACTGCCAAATCACTAAATTTGGTGACGGGCAATTTAAAAGGGGTCCTTTTTAAGCTGGCGTTTTTCACCAGGTCTGTGTTTATTTCCAGCAACTAACACCGCCCTGGAGGCTTTGTCTTGCTTAATGGGATTCCCAAACATCAACAAACCAACTTTTGTTCAACTGAGGGGCAAAGAAGGTCTCCGTGAAAAGCCTATGTTGAGTCTGGGGGCGGGGGGGGGAGCTTCCACTTCTCCATAGAAACATACACACACACACCCCCCAGAAACTCACCGTGGTTCTGCAAAGTCACTAAATTAACAACGCACCAACAAAGCAAGGGAAGGCCCACACTGGAGTCCTCGGGAAGAAATTCCCTGGAGCTGAAAAGCGACGGTCAGCTCTCCCTATTTCAGGTGTAAACCTGACTTTCTGGGCACGGTAGGTTAAATCAGGATTAAAGTGGATGCAATGAAGAAGATTTGCAAGATGATCTCCTGATGTGTTTTTCAAAACAGGAACGTGCTCGGAGAGGGAGTGGGAAGGGATGGAATGGATGGAAGGAAGCTACAAGGGGGAGACACTAGGTAGATGTGATGCTTTTCCAGGCTCTGCCAATTTAAGCCCCTCTCTCCAAAGATGCTGCTATAGTCCAGTACATTGGGGGGGGGGTTGCTCATTCATTCTATCAGCATTTCTTCTGCCATCCAGGATCTCATGGCAATTGCAGGGGATTATTTAGATCAGCAATGCAGGGAGAGTTAGGTGGAGCCTTGCCACTTCTGAAGGGTAATCTAACTCCGTGGGACTAAGAGCTTTCTCACCTCAGAAAAAAATGGACGAGTCAACGCAAGGCTTTGTTTTCGGCCGAATAATGTGAGACAGCAGCAGGCTGAAAAACTGGGTGTCCGTTGCTTACCCAAGTTTTCCAAAAAGGGATCAGGAAGTGGCAGAGATCAGACATTTATATACCCTGTGCGATCCTGGATGAAGCTGTGGGTTTTTTTCCTCTATCATCCCATATTTTTTTCTGTCGTAAATTATAAACGTCTTCCTTCTCTGCCTACTCTTGCAAATATTGTGTTTGCTCTCTCCTGCCCGTTCCCTTTCTGAAAATAACAGAGAGACCACTCGGACTTTGAATTTTTAGGACTTGGAAAGATTTCTTGAGCTGCTGGGGGACCACATGTTGACTTCTCTAATTGTACAGCCGTTCAGAAAAGGGGTCCCTCGCTACACAGACACCCAGTCCAGGAATTGACCTTTGCCACCTGTTTTTATGATGCTAAGAGTGTTTCATCATGCTGCTCTTTCTTTTCCAGCATGCAGAAGAGACCCAGCACCCCCCAAAACTAAATCACAAACATACACACGCACACGCACACACATACCCCAACCAGCCCAAGTCAATATTATCAAAGTTCAGGGTCTACCGTGAAGCCCTTGAGAGGGGGTTATACAAAATGACCTAAGATGAACTTGTACTGGGATCGTTTCGAGGTCTCCCCACCCTCCCATCCCTCGGAAATCAACCAAAGTAGCATCCTCCCCCCAAAGTCTGCTCCACAGGCTGAGGCCAAGCATAGGCTGAGCTGAATTATTTCGACAGGAAACAAAGGACTTTCCTCCAGAAACCATTTCCAGCTTCTTCTCAAAAAGGGAGGACCCCGCAAAGCAGGGGAGAAAGGCAAGGAACTCACAAGAGTTGAGGAGACTCTTGTTGCGGGAGCTGCTAGCCCCTTCTAGAGGCGCTATCAAAGTTGACCGCTTTATCCACCAAGTTCTTTGGATGCCACCTTCCCTCCATCTACACACCCCACCGTTTCTACGCCACCCCCGAGCTGCCCCCTCTTTTATCACCTTTCCACCAGGCGCCTGGAAAGTCTCTGCCGGTCTTCTGCTTTGTGCCTTCTCTCGCCCACGTCCACGTTCCCCTTACCCGTCACCCGGTGAGCTTCCTCCGGTAGCTGAGAGGCGCTCAGATGGACAAGGTCTTTGATCTCCACCCCTCCTTCCAAGGCCCGGAGAGTCTTACATTTCATTTTATGATGGATGAACTTGCTACATTTCCTCTGGATTTTGCGGAAGGCATCCAGCTCTCCGCAGTGGTTGGTTTTGAGGAGCGGAGCTTCCTCATCCAAGAAGCAGCTATCGGACAGCTTTTCCCTCTTCTTCTTCTTCTTCTTGCTGCTGAGGTCTCTCTCCTCTTCGCTAGACGACCACTGGACCTTCGGCTCTTCGCACCAGCGTTTGCTGCTGGATCTCTTGAAGCTGGTCTTGGCCCTCAGTCCGGAATCGCAGCATTCCGCACTGGAGCAGAAGCTGCGTCCGCCACGGTTCCCCTCCCGGTCCTCCCCGCCAACGTTCCGGATGCGTATGAAGAGTTCTTTGGCCTTCTGCTGGTGGAGAGGCCGCGTCTTGCAGCTGCCTGGGTAGCTGCCGTTTCTTTGCTCCGATGGGTTCCAGGGCTCGTTAAGCGCCTCGCTAAAATATTCCGAATCGCTGCTGATCTCTTCCAGCAGGTCTTTCAGTTTATACATGCTGGCTGACGACCTCACGGCCGTTTCAGGAGTCCCTTCCTGGGAGGTGTTTTTGTGAGCAATATTGTTGCTTCCTGGGAGGGGGCTACGCAACCTGTCCGGCGGGGAGCCATCGCTCTCCTCCTCCTCCTCCTCCTCCTCTTCCAGGGAATCCTCCCATTCTCCCTGGCAACTTTCGCTAAACTCTTGAGGACACGCCCGGTCCTCCGGCGTGATGAGGTCTGCAGGCTCAGACCTTACGTCAGTGGCTTCCCAGGGGTCATCTTCATCGTTGTCAGCCACCTGAGGGTCGTATTCAGGGAGATCTGATCCTAAACTCTCTTCCGTCCAACAGTCTTCGTCTCTACTCTGCAATTTGACCCGGAAGCTGTCTTCGTAACATGACACCACCCTGTGCCACCAAGATGCATCTGACGGGCTTTGTGCGCTGGGACAGACGCGTGCGTATCGGGGGGTTTGGTAGTAGTTCAGTAAATAATGGATGAATTCCTCTGTTTCATAAACCTTTTGCTTTTTAGCCTTGGCTGCCTCAGGAGCATCCGCGAAGGGCCCCAGGTTGGGTCTCAGGTAATCCCACCTGTAGGGGGACGACTCGTTCACTTGGCAGTCCTGAGTGACCGTCACCCGCAGCAAGCCCGTGGCACGAAAGGGGTCGGCGCTGTTCTCCGTTAAGTGGCTGGTGACTGCCCTAGCAGCGGGTCCGTTGGGAAGAGCTCTCCCGAAGGGAGAAGGGGATGGAGGCAAGTCTTCAGCCAGGAATTGTTCTTCGTTCTCTTTTTCGATCGCGACATTTTCAAGCAGGGCGGAGGGGCAGGCGGGCTGGCTCTCATCCTCCACTTCTTGACGCTCAAGGCGAGGCACAACTGTCTCCTCCTTGTGCGCATCCTCTACGGGAGGGGTGAAGGAAGTCTTCTCCCCTTCAGGTTGACGCTCCAGTAGACGGGCCTCCGTTTGCCCGGAGGACAGGACGAAATTCTTCAACCGAAACAGAAAGACAAACAGGATTACTGCACCACAAAGCAGAGACAATTCAGCGCAGTCTAACAATGAAGCTCTCTCACGTGTAATTTGAGTTTTGTCCACCTTGGTTACAGGGAGAACATCCACATCTTCTCAACTGCAACCATCATTGGGCACTATGAGGAATTGGGTCAATTTTAATGGTGCTCAACCCAATGAAATGGGAGGGGGGGGGGGGAAATGGTTTTATTTGGAACTAGACAACAACTAGACTCGTCAGATCATTGTTTCAGAGAGAACTCCTTATGCCTTCAACAATGGCAGAGCTTCTAATGTACTTGGTAAGGTCTTTAAAAATGCCAGGAGATGCTCGGAGGTGTATCTGCCTTGAAAGTAGGCCCTGTGGAATTGTAGAGCACAATTAAACATCAGGAGATGACCACAGGAAATGCTTTATGATATTCTCATTGTGGCCATAAAATGCATTACGGTAAATGTTTATGTCATAAAATGTTTTGTGAAATCTGCCATGTTTCAGTTCCAGGGTTTTGCCTCCCTTTCGCCCAGCTTAAAGATTACAGACATGAGAGCTTTAATAGTATATAGATAATATCCTAATACAGCTCTTATTCCTTCACCCCCCACCCCTTCCAGTGGGAAAGATACAAATGCAACGTGTCTCTCTCTCTCTCCAATACTTTTAGCAAAATCCAAATTGCCACGTTGGAGAAAACACATTCTTTTGATTGAATCGACTGGGTCGATTCGATTTCTGTAGCCACCCAACTCAACCCTGGGCGGCTTGCAATTCTAAGATTATACAACAATTAAAAACAATTGAAGAAACAGCTGGGGCCCATTTCATTGATAGGTACACCCAACAACGTTTTATGGCTAAATTGCTTAAAAATTAAGAAGAACTGGAAAGATGAATAACCCCTTTGGAATACGCGCCCCCCAATATTCTTACTTTTATTTGGCTTAGCAGCACTGTGAGTAGTCTGATTGATTCCACCCTCCTCTGAGCTAGGAGATATTTTCTCTCCTCCCATTCGGGCAGGTCTGCGGCGTTCACTTCTTCTGCAGCTGTCACTTTCAGATGCTTTCTGGGGTGTTTCTCCTCTCGGTCCATCCGCCTTTTCCCCCGTCTCTTGATCTTAGCCCTCCTCCTTCCTTCTCCGCCTTTTTTGTCGTCGTCATCTCGTCTTTTTCTAGGCAGTTAGCAATAACGGAAAACGTTTAGAGGAACACGCGTATCTTGTGCGCGCGTTTCAGGTGGTTGAGCGTAAAAAACGAGCCCTGTTGTGAAATCTAATGGCTACGGGGGTGTACAAAATGAAAGGGCCTCTTCGAAATGGGAGGCTAACTAACACCTTGCGGATTTCCAAGGCGACGTAAAATAAGCTGGAGGAAATTTGAGCTGCTCTGTAGAAAGAGCTGACACTCCTACAAATACTCAGATATTAGTAGTTATACATCAAGACTGACATTCCCAATTAAAGCTTTAATCTTTTCCAAGGGCATTTGAATTTACATTGTGTGGGATCCTTTTAAAAAAAATAAATCAGCATACATATAAGTCCTATCTCTCCCACTCACACTGCTCCTTTTTCTGTTATCCTTAACTATCTCTAATCTGACTCCTTGTCTCCAGGATGACTGCCTCGCCCCGGAGAACCAGTATTTTAAAGGCCACTGGCCTTGTAAACAGCTGAACTTTTTAAAGCAGAGATTGTGAACAACGCACTCCCTCCGCTTTGTGTTACAGCTGCCATGAACCCTGGCTGTTCAAAGAATTTGAGGGATGCCCTTGAGAACGTCTACAGTAGAGGCCCTGAGGTTGCTTATCACGTTTTTTAGGGGGCAGAAACAAAGCTCACAAGGCAGTAAGTCTAATCAACTTGCAGAAGGATAAGTCATCTGTCATCACAAATGTGGCAGTAATTCCCCCCCCCCCCCAAAAAAAAAAGAAATCTGTGTGTTCAAAACAGATTGCTGGCTGCATCTGGGTAAGTTTCACAGGTCTGTTGTCTCTTTTAAGTGGTGGCTGCAGATGTTCCTTCTACATCTGTGGCATGAAGAAGGATCAGGTTATTCTGAGGGTCTGTGGTTTCCACTGCTGTTCTGAGTCTCCCTTGCAATCAAGAGATACAGCAGGCTAACACGGTCAGTCCTTGATTTATGACGACAATTACAGAGCAACAGTGTAATAGAGTTGGAAGGGACCTTGGAGGTCTTCTAGTCCAACCCCGTTTAAGCAGGAGATCTTATATCATTTCGGACAAAGGGCTGTCCAGTCTCTTCTTAAAAACTTCCAGAGTTGGAGCATTCACAACTTCTGGAGGCAGGTTGTTCCACTGGTTAATTGTTCTGTCAGGAAATTTCTCCTTAGTTCTAGGTTGCTTCTCTCCTTGATTGGGAGAGAATTGGGACCAGAATGTCCACAGCTAAACAAGGTGATTGTTGAATCACGGCCAATGTTACAACTTTTTGCCACAGTGGTTAAGCAAATACATCATATTGATATATTTATTTATTTTGTTTATTTTCACACTTCTTAACCAACCATCTCCCGCGTATTCTCCTTGTGTTCCTTTTTCCTATTTGTTCTATTATTTTACTTCTCTTTACACTCCTTTCATTTTCTTCCTTAGAAGCCCCTTAGAGTAGCCGCAAGGTGAGACCAGCGGCAAATAAATTGAACAAATAATCTTTTTTTCCCCCAAGCTATTTAAATCTGTTGTAATTTGGTACAAAGCTAGAACGCTAAGCAATCCCACAGCCTCCTTCAGCTACCTAGGAATGAAAGGCCTCCATTTTATATACAATTGCTGAACGGTTTGAAGGATGGGAATATAAACCTAAGCCCTGCGTTCGTCGAGAGAGTCACAAAGCTATTTTGGTCTGTAACATAACAACTTTTGTTCCAAACCCAATGGAGTGGGTGGAACCCTCCCTGCAGAATTAAAAAAAAAAAAAACCTAACAGTGCTCAGGTGTACTTATGTCTACAGAACCCACTGGGAGAGGCAAAGCAGACTGAGAAAACAAGCAGTACTATAAACTTACAAGTAGATGTAACAGTCAACCCTGGATCTTGAAACTGCAGTGCAATCTTTTCCAATAATAATAATAATAATAATAATAATAATAATAATAATAATAATAATAATAATAATAATAATAATAATAATAATAATAATAATAATAATAATAATAATTTTATTTCAGGCTAGATATACTTCTGCCTTAAGATAATGGCAGCAACTGCGAAAGCGAACTGCAAGTGAAGCCATTGGTGATTATATCTATAATGTTGGATTGCAACCGATTTGCAAACCAGCTCTCAATTATTACAGACTTTGGAATCTACTCTTCGGGCATAAACCACCGGTCTATGTACTCAACACAGCCATGGAGGAGTTGACCCGCTGAATTTACCTTTGTTCTGACTAAGGTATGTTTGGTTGCAACATCTGCCAGACTTCATATGAAGTTCAAAGTAAAAGAAACATTAGTGCAGCGTGCACGAGATGGCACCTTCACTCAACTTTCATATATTAAGAAGTGAGGGTACAAACTCTCGTGACAAATAATGAATGTGGCATGGCGTGGAAAACATTTGCTGAAATCTCAGGAGACCAGTAGGCGTCGCAGTTAAGATTTCCAGGAATCAGGGACCTGTTTTTATTGAATTCATCAACTGTCTCTTTGCTAACCAACACAACATAAATGATGGGAAAGTAGGACAACGTAGACGTTACCGGTAGCCCTCAACTTATGATCATAACGGGCCCCGGAATTTCTGTCGCTAAGCAAAGTGCTTGTTAAGCGAGTCACATCTAACTTTACGAACCGTTGTTCACTGAATCAGGTGGGCGTTAAGCAAAGCTGGCTATCTCCCCCATTGACTTTGCTGGACAGAAGATAGCTTGGGAAGGTGCCAAAACGGGATCACGTGACTCCGGGATATGCCGCAACCGTCACCGTAAATGCATGCTGGTTGCCCGGCACCCAAGTTGCCATCACGTGGCCAAGGGGATGCAGCAACGGCGGTTAAGGGTGAGGACTGGGCCTAAGTCACATTTTTCGGTGTCACTGCAACTTCAAATAGTCACTAAACAAATAGTTGTAAGCCAAGGACTACTTTGTACATTCTCAGTCTAAAAATACCAGGAGAGCTCACACACACACACATACACATCCCAAAAAACAAAGTTCAGTGTTCTTGGTCCACGGTTTTAAAGGCATGGATGCAAAAATGTGATTTGGTCTTTTTTAACCTGTTACTCGTTCCAGTCGGAGCCCACACAGGAACGCGCACACACGCGCACGCACGCACATGTGTCTTCGCCCTCCCGATAAAGAACGATTAGCGTTAATGATTCCCGTTAATAATTAAAGCGAAGGAGTTAAGTGCCTCACCTTTCAGTCCCTTTTCTCCCTCTGTTCTCCTCTCTCTTTCTCTCTCGTTCTAGACCTTGCAGAGTTAATCTCTCTAGCGTTCTCTGCTTTATAGCGTTCTCACTGAAATGACTAGTGGTGTCAGAGGTCACCTGTGTCAAAACAGCAACGACAAAGCGCATGGCTCATTCAAATGGACCACTCTTGTTTCTTTGATTGATTGATACGCGGCCTTTCCATCCCAGTCCTTTTATTTTATTTTATTTTTTAAAAATGGCTTGTTGTTCATAGGCAAAGGAGTTACACTCCAGAACGAAATACGGAAAACGTAGGGCGTTACTGGACCTTTAAAAGCACAGGTAGTCCTCGAGTTATGACCATCCTGGAACCTGCCCGTCACAGTCGTTAACTCGGGACGGTCTTAAATTAGGTCACCCACCGACCCAATGACCGTTTCTGCAGCCGTCGTGAAGCGGACGCGCTGCAGTGCGTGAAGCGAGCCCCTGCTTTGCGACGGGCGCAGTTTTGCTGAAAATTGGAAGGAAATCCCCGTTTTCGGCAAAACAGTCGCAAAACGCAGTTGTGCGACTAGACACTGCGACACAACTGCAGCACAGTTGGCTGAACACTTGAAATGTGGTCACATGAACATGGGGGGGGAACTCCCAACCATCGGAACTTCGAATCCAATCGTAGGTACCTCCAGGGAGGTCAGTCGTGACTTCGGTCACCTAAGCGACCCGTCGTAACTTGAGGACTACCTGTAAATTCAAGGAATCAGCAGAATTGGTTTCAGAAGCACATTCTGGACGGCTGCTGAGACTCCTCCCGAGAAAATTGCAGCCAAAGGACAGGTAGTCCTCGACCTACGACATGTCGCTAAGCGAGTCATTTTTTAAATGGTTTTTCCCATTTTACGAACTTTCTTGCCACAGTTGTTAAATGAATCACAGCAAGTGTTTAAATTAGTAACATGGTTGTTAAGAGAATCTGGGTTCTGCATGGACTTTGCTGGTCAGAAAGCCAGCAAAAAGACCCCCGGGAGACACGGCGACCGTCATAAATATGAGTCGGTTGCCAAGAGTCTGAGTTTGGGTCACATGATCTTGGGAAGGTCGCAACAGTTGTAAGTGTGGGGGTCATATGTCACTTTTTTTTCAATGAACGGTCACTAAACAAACTACCTGTATGTAGAAGCATGAGAGGAAGGTGACGCCCTTGCAAAGACTGATTTATCGGGGCGTGGAGTTTTATGAAAAAGAGCCCCCCATCAGATAGGAAACGGAGCTGATCAGCGTGCTCGGGTCTACCAATCCATCCATCCATCTTTCTGGCCCGTGAGGTTTGGGTCTCTTTTTGCAACCCTGGCTTAAGAGAGGGTTCCCACGACCGCAGGACGCCTTACCTTGATGTTACACGCCAGAGCCTTGCCGTCCTCCCCCTTGAACATCAGCTTCATGCCCTTGAGCGTCTCCACGGCCTTCGCAAACGACTTGGACTCTTGATACTGGACAAAGGCTTCGAAGGACCGCAGGCCCCGGAAAATCAAATTGTTCCTGCTTCTTCCCACCGTTTCCTCCCGGTAGGGATCCAGCATGGGGATGTCCACATTCTTGACCTTCCCGAACGTTCCAAAGACCGTCCTCAAGACGTCCTCGTTGGGGGTCTCGCTCTCTGAGCCTTTCAGGGCAAACCACTTGCACGGCAGGCCTTCCAGATGGAGGCAGTCCAGGAGCGCCTGGCTCTGCTCCTCCTCCTCCTCCTTCTCCTCCTCCTCCTCCGGGGGTTTCTGGCTCTTTGCGTTGGGCTCTGATTCCTGAGAAGGTGGGCCGTCCGGAGGGGCTTCTGTAGCGACCACCTGCAAGTCTTCCTTGAAGCCGTTCAGCTTGATCAGCTTGCCATGGAGCTTCTCCTTCAGGCTGGTGACCAATCGCTTGCTTTCCGCCTCTCCTTCGAATCGGATGAAGCCCTTGGTGCTCTTCGACACCTTCACGCTGCTGAACTGGTCTGGGCAGATCATGTTCTTCAGCTTGTCCATCACCTCCCACTTGGAGAAGGCCCGGGTAGCTCCAGTGTGTTCCGGAAGCGCCACGCTGATTGTCAGTTTCGCAACGGGCTTCAGGTAAAGCTGCTGAGAGGCACACAGCTCCACTGCTTCTGAGGGATCGCAGACCAGGGTGACCGTCATGGTGCCCGAATAGCCTTCGGAAAAACAATTCAAAGGCACGTTATGTGCACCAAACGACACTCTCGCTTCTGGCAAAAGTGGGCCTTCCAACAACCTCCCACCGGGTTGGAGTCCAGGGGTAGGCAACCCTTGGCTCTTTTATGACTCGTGGACTTCAACTCCCAGAATTCCTGAGCCAGCATGGCTCAGCTTGGAAACCTCTCCCTGTCCCCTCAGCATGGCTGGCTCGGGAATTCTGGGAGTTGAAGTCCACACGTCATAAAAGAGCCAAGGTTGCCTACTCCTGGGTTGGACCTATTTTATTTAAGGAATTAGAAACAGTCTTATATCTGAGTTTGTTCTGATGTAGGAGGACATTTGTAGCTGAGAGTTGAAAGGGGAGGTCCTTGGGGCTCTCTGAGTGTGATTGTTTTCTTGCAGACGTTTCATCACCAAGCTAGGTAATATCATCAGTTATCTTAGTCTACTACTGATGGCGTTACCTAGTTTGGTAATGAAACGTCTGCAAGACACCACCAAGCTCAGAGAACACCAAGCACCTCACTGAGTTTGTTGTGGTAGCACTAACTGGTTTTTAATAAATTGTTATTCGGGTGACCTCATTACAGTCAATCCAATTTAAATTTGCATCCTTGTTCATTGCAGTATCACAGTACCTACTTATTTAAAACTAAATGCAGTCATATTGCTTTTACTTTATTAGAACAAGCGTAACTAATACGATCTTTAACTGAATTGGATAAGGACTTAAAATTATAAATCTAAACCTTCAGCAAAAGGTGTCTATGAAAATTAAAAACAAGATTCATCTGAATTGTTGTATCAAGAAAGAAAAGCCAGCCAGGAATTGATCTGACAAGACTCTAAGCAGTAGAATAAAAGAAGACATACATCTTTAGACAAAATTCTGTTTACTTAAAAGTTCCACCCACTTCAAATGATTTCACTCTTAGTAAGGAAAAACTAGGATTGTTTAGGATTGTTGTTATTAAGATTTTTTTAAAAAAATATCTGCAGTTTAGTAATTCCAACAAGAGCACATGGAAAAAAAGTTTCTGTAAACTGCACACTAGATCAAAGGATCAACTAAACTGCATACATCAAACACCAAAAAAATTTAACAAACAGATTGCTACTGATTAAAGATGCTTAATATCAAAAAACCTATTTTAACTAATTTGCAAATAGCACAAAACCCACCTTTTCTGGATAAGCTCAATTAGCACAGAAATGCTTTTGTGATTTTTCCACAATAGTCTTCTATTCTGAAACATGCAAATATATTTTCAGCTTTTGACCAGTTCAAATACTAAATATATATCTGCTTTCAGAATGCCTGTTAGTCTATCTTTCATGTAACCAGCCTAGCACAATCAATTCTGCGAATCCCATGCAATAATTAAACCATTACAAACCTTGAGTATCCTTTGAGAAGCGATTAATAGGTGGTGGAAATTCCAGTTACTTTTTTGACCTTGACAATTTTTGGCTCTTTGGAACACATGTTTCTGTTCTCTGCCCAGTCTTCTAATTTTGCCCTCAGCCTCTGCGTGATAAATGGGAGTTATTTTGGTTTGTATACTTAGAACTGTCTATCGACTGTTAAATTTATTAAGAAGCTTCTTTGTTCTCCTCACAAAACAGTGCTCAACACAACTCTTTCCACTGCGCGAATGTGCAGAGGAAGGTTACTAGCGAATTCTGCAAAGATCTCTTCTGAGATTTTAGACCCAAATTGCAGAACTCAAGGGAGGCTGGATAATCAAATACACCCAGAGGCAAAGCATCACCTGTGCCCATCCTTTACAAAACATCTCCATCACAGATGTACATCCATAAAATGTGCTGCTGACGGAGAACAACACACCATCTTTCTTTCTGATAAACATCCTCTTGAAATAAACACAGCCACAAACACAGTCAGCGATACAGATTTTCCCGCAACGTGAAGGGTGGTGTTTAAATGTCTTAAATAAGTAAAGACACCCCATTTTGAAAATTACAGCCAAACATGTCTGCAACTCGTACACAGCCAACTTCTGGAAAAATGGGTCTCTAGTAGAACATTTGAAAATACCTAACTTAATCTGATTTTATCTCTGGGTTAGTTCCGGTGGGTGAACAGGCTTATGACTTTTGAAACTATATTCTTCATATCTTCATATCTTCATATATTTCTGAAACTATGTATTCTTCGTTAACAATAGAAATTTTAAGAAGTAAACCAAATGGAAAATTTCCTTCGACTTAAGAGGCCTTTGCTACTCCTAGCTGAATTCAGTTTCATAATGGTCTTGCTGAAACCCCACTTGCCTTATTATCTCTCTCTCTCACTGGAATAGCCATTTCGAACTTTTTAGTTCTTTTCAACCAGACATACCTTTCTGAGATTTGAACCTGGGCTTGTCTGCATGTTAGGCAGATGTATTAACCTCTATGCCACAGGTTCTTTCTCACTTTGTCAGCTATGAGACAGGGGAGAAGAATTATCTTTGAGTTTGGTGCACCAAACTCTGATGCAATTGTTCTTTTTTTTTTCTTCTGGCAAATGATGGGGTAGGTTTTCTGCAAAATGGCTAAAATTGCTCTGCCTTGTTTTTACTTGGTAAAGTTGTTCCAGATCACAGTTCCTTGTTTGTGTGAAATTTGTATCATGCCCAGCCCAAAAGTAAACTCACACAATGACCTCAGAATCATCCAGGTCTCCGTTCCTTAAATGTGTATAGTATTTCTATTCTTAATTTTAAGGACAGCATTACAGTACATGAGTAAAGTAGGTTATCCTTTTTAGGGCCCGAGTTCTCTTTCCAAGCTGTTTTTTTGCTACTTTATGGACCAGTCGATTAATCAAGCAATCTGGCTCCACATAATAGCCTGAACCCCAAATTAACCCAGCAGATGTTCATCTGAACCCAGATAAAAAATTAAGGGGGGAGGAGGAACTGGGAAAGGAAACTAACCTTAGCTTCTTTTTATATGCTTTAATTTCTGGTCATTTCCTCCACAGGTCATGTGAAATGGGGGCCCATAACATTGTCGTTGCTGACTTTTTGTTCTTGACTGGCTAGAAATGCAGAAAACTCATTAAAAGAGAATAATTTAGAGGTTTAAATTGTTTGTCCTCACACTCCAAGCCCTGGGATACCCAACTCACTCTTAACAGACTACAGAGAATCCTCGATTTATAACCATAATAGGGAACAGAATTCCCGTTGCTAAGCAAAGCAATTGGTATATGAGTTGCCCCCAATTCTACAATCTTTTTGCCAAGGGTTGTTATGGGAATCACTGCGGTTGTTAAATGAGTCATGATGTTGGTAAGTGAATCCTGCTTTCTCCAGTGGGAAGATGGGAAAATCACAAATGGTGACCCCCATGGCCCAAGGATGCTGCAACCGTCGTAAATACATGCTGATTATCAAACGCCCGGATTCTGATCACATAACCATGGGGATACTATGATGGTCGTAAGTGTGAGGATTGATCCTAAGTCATTTTTTTTTCAGCGCTGTTGTAAGTTTGAATGGTCGGTAAATGAATGATTGTAAATCAAGGGCTACCTATGCGGCATGAACCCCACCCTTGCAGCCCAACCCGTGGCACAGGGGCCGTGTCTCACGTTCCCACCTCCCCAAATCAAACCAATCTTTATTAGGGTCACACAGCAGCATGCCAAAGCAATGCTACCAAATGCCCCCATAGCCCATCTTCCCCTGCCACAGGGCACAATTCTGCTTTTTAGAAAGAGCTCCCAATTTCCCTCTATCAGGCCTCCCCTGCAGATATGTGGGACTACAACATCCATCCTCATGCGAGGGATTAACTCCATTTCCTCTCTTCTATTCCTATCCCATCCAGGCATTTGGGACCCAAGGCTCAGGTAAATGGGAGTTGTAGTTCCAGACACTTCTAGAAGCACTGGGCCCGCTGAAGAAAGGAGGATGGGAATCGCCACGGCAACTCTGGAAGATGGGAGCTGGTGTTACAGAGAATCCCAGAGGTCCTGGACTTACCCCAGCACCTGCAGGAGGCAGGCAGATGGGAGATGGAGTCCTCCCAGAAGCTAAGAAGCTACAGGAACTGGGCAGAGTGGAGTCCCAGACATGCTTGGATGTCTCGGATTCACTCCAGGAGCCAGGCAGGTAAAAGAAGTCCCACACACAAGCAAGGCAGATGGGAGCTGGAATACTCCCAGTTGTACAGGACCTGTAGGAGACAAGCAGATGGGACCTGGAGTCCCAGATACACCCGAATGTACTGCACTCACCCCATGCCTGCAGGAGGCAGAGAGATGGGAACTGCAGTACTTTCAGATGTTTGACACCTACAGGAGTTTGGCAGATGGGAGCTGGAGTCCCAGACAAGTGAGGTGGATGGGAGCCGAGTCCTAGACAAGCCAGGCAGATGGGAGCCGGAGTCCCAGCCAAGCAGGGCGGATGGGAGCTGGAGTCCCAGGCAAGCCAGGCAGATGGGAGCTGGAGTCCCAGGCAAGCAGGGCAGATGGGAGCTGGAGTCCCAGGCAAGCAGGGCGGATGGGAGCTGGAGTCCCAGGCAAGCAGGGCGGAAGGGAGCTCGAGTCCCAGACAAGCAGGGCAGATGGGAGCTGGAGTCCCAGGCAAGCAGGGCAGATGGGAGCTGGAG